CGAGCTCTCGGTTACGCTTTCAGTTGTTTAGATCTTGTTCTCCAGTTTGCCTGCAGTCCCTGCAAGAGTTTGAAGCTGGCTGGAAAGCAAAGCTGGGCTCTGAAGCTGAATGCACTGGTTTAAGAGTTGCTATGCTTATAGCACCACGGGCTGTTCCAGTGGGTCGGCAGATACTTTAGTCTTCCTGAGCATCGTACCTTGCATGAAATACTGGGCATCCAAAGAACTTCAAATGGAAAGAATGTATTATTCACAAACACTGAAAAATATTTTAAATAAGTAGCCAATACATTGAAAGATGAGTCCAAACAGAGCTGGGGCCTTCCTTTTGTGTGCTTGTATTCCTCCCCGTTTTACTAACATTGCTCTATTTAACCTCAGAGAGCTAATTTAGGGAACACCTGTACATTTATTGGTTTTATTCAAAAAAAGATAAATGTAAATCAGTAGGCTGCAGGCAGGTCAATAGACCTCATTTAAAATCAGCTGGATTCAACTGAAATTTTATTAGCACCTATCATGTTTTGTTAATACATTAATTCTAAAGACTTTTGCCAGGAAGAACAAACGTGTATAAATGCTTAATCTGAATGTTCCTCTTTCAGTGTTTAGGCAAGTTGTGGCCAGTAACGTCACAGTCTAAATCCAGATTTGAAGAGGAGAGTAGATTGTTCATTCTGTTACTGTGTACATGGGATAGAGTGGGAGATGGACTAGTAAGTATCAAGACTGGGATAATGATAAAAGAAGAACATGAACATGTCCAAGGCCTTCTGGAGATTTCCGAATGAAAATCTTAAACTACTTTCAAGCATTGTTCAGAGACCACTCATGGCTTGAAGTGTCTGCTTAACATGTTTTATAATGAGTAAAATGAGTAAAGTACGAGTCCATGTATGTTCTTGGTTAAGCACAGAGGACTGTGAAGAATGGCCCCACACTTGTGGGCTAAGATGATTTTGCTTTTGATCTTGTTTTGAAAGACAGTAATGCTCTAAAGATTCAAATACGATTTCTCAAAAATTGTTAACATATAGAAATAATGGGAATCTGTTCTTGAGATCCTTTACTCCTTTTCATAATCTCCAGTTTCACAATAAGGAGGAAATATAGCCCAGAAACATCAAAGAGCCAGAACTGTGCTTGCAGCTATTAGTTCTCAGATGAAAAAAACCCCAAAGCTAAAATTTACAGCCCAAAGGAATCTCAACACTTTTCAGTAAAGGAGTCCAGCCCTTCTGGACCAAATAAATATTTTAAATCCTAATAACTCTTTTGGAAGGCAGCTTATTTAAAAGGAATATTCTGGCATTGTATGTGCTTTTGACTTGCGTTTATTTAAAATTTAGACTGATTTTCAGTTTCTTCTACATAACTGATTATTTGTGATATATCACAGTTTCACAGAAATGTAAGACAGTAGAGCATCTGAAGAGAGAATTTGTTCTCTTTGCAGGAAGGAGTTACAGACAATCCACATCATCTATTTGTCTACCCAAGTCTTTATTAACAACAAATAAACCAAAAAACCAACTGTGAGAAACTTTCAGTAAAGGAGTCCAGCCCTTCTGGAGCACACACCAAATAAATATTTTAAATCCTAATAACTCTTTTGGAAGGCAGCTTATTTAAAAGGAATATTCTGGCATTGTATGTGCTTTTGACTTGCGTTTATTTAAAATTTAGACTGATTTTCAGTTTCTTCTACATAACTGATTATTTGTGATATATCACAGTTTCACAGAAATGTAAGACAGTAGAGCATCTGAAGAGAGAATTTGTTCTCTTTGCAGGAAGGAGTTACAGACAATCCACATCATCTGTTTGTCTACCCAAGTCTTTATTAACAACAAATAAACCAAAAAACCAACTGTGAGAAATTATATCAGTGCTACAGTGGGGCTTGCTTGAAGAGAACCTGCTTACGGGACTTTTGAAGATTCACTATCCATGATTGAAATAAAGCTTTTCTTTACTTCTACCATATAGCAATATATTGCAATAATGGTAAGGATCCAGAGCAAGCTCATATGCTGTGATAAATGACAAGAGTTCCATGGTGTTCAAAGCATTATCAGAATCCATTTCATACCTCATCTGTTATTATAAGCATAAAATGTGCAAATGTTCTCCACTGCTGTAAATGTCAGCATGCTGGGGGCAAATGCTTTGATTTTCTATCAGCAAATAATGTTAAATTATATAGTGTTTAATCACGCTTAGTGAGAATGATGAACTTTAAAGAATGAGTTTCTTTCAAATCACTCCATCTTCAGTTCTCCTGGAAATGGACATCATCATTTATAAAATCCTGAAGATAACTCCCCTAGCCTGGAGGCTTCATGATGGTTCAAGGCTGATGGTAGAGCAGTAAAATACAAAACCATTCAGACATCAAAATTATTTTCATTGAGGCAATGAGGTATTTCAGCATAGAATTTGAAAGTTAATTTTGAAAATCAGAACCCTCATATAAAATAATTCTGGCAGCTTTTAGGACAGTTAAATTATTTGCATTTATAGAAGAGTCTACATTACCTGGTATGACACAACCTCAAAACTGTTAATTTCTAAATAAAGCAGTTGCATTTACCAGGCCAGATTGTAAGTGGTTGTAAGGTAGGAGTGCTCCACTGGGGTAACTGGAGGTCTGTGGCTTTATATGTGTGGAGAATCTCACCTACACTCCCCACCTCCTCTTTCTGAAAGGAAAGGTGCAGGTAAACGTATGGATGCAATACATGGAGGAGACTTTTACAGAGGGAAAGAAAATATAAATCTTCAAATCCCAAGGACATAGTAAAAGGTAATACTGCTAGTATCTTAGCAACCAGAGAAACTAAAAGACAAGCTGTACAGGGAAATCAGCTGTAGCCCGTCTTTAAGAGCTCTCTCTGGTTTATATTTTTTCTGTGTTTCCGAAACTGGATTTTTAATCACAGCATTTGAAAACACAGAGTTTTCTGTTGGAGGGCTTCATCGGTTTTGGTCTCTGCTGAGGGGAGCTACATTTTTATATTTGGCTCAGTAATTGCTAATGTATTAGAGCAAATCTATTAGCACATACTAGACTTGAGGAGCAGGTTGGAAGAGACAGTGGAATTCTCCTGTGAAAGCAGGGGTGGGTGCTGTGCTGGAGGGACCCCCCCCGCCACCCTCTGGGGTCAATGGTAAAGCCTCTACTGCATTCAGTGGCACAGGGATAGGTCCTGCATATACTAAGAAATGGGAAAGTCTTTGATATTTTCACTTTTTTTCTAATTAAATTGGCTTTAGCACTTTCACTATAGTCTAGATTTTCTGGATTTCTGTATCAGCCCCACTATATAAAAATTAATATGTTTTTCTAAATCAGCTGAAATAGAAACATATATTTCATAGCTATTGTGTGGATAATGGCAAAAGTTTTATCATGATGCAGAATTAATGTGAGTTTAGTCCATTTTCAAAACATCAGGTTTCCATACAATGCTTTTGGTATAAAAATGCAGAAATCTTGAAGCAAAATGGAATTTGCAGAGTCAGTCAAATATCAGGATACTAGATACATATAAATGTCAGTACATTAAAGCTTCATCTCCACTTTGTTGCTCTTTCATTGTTAGAGTTTCAGCACCTATTGCTTGCTATTATTCCTATCATCATTAACCTTCAAGATAATGGTTACAAACATCAAAAGTTTGAAAACTCTTTCGTTGAAAGTATGTCCTTAGATGCGCTCTGTTTGTTACATATAATAATGTTTTATGCTCATACTGGAAAGATACAATCACCTAAAGAAAAAAAAGCAGGAAATAGCTTAAAGTGCAAATTAGTTGTGTTTGAGAAAATGCAGGTAGCCAAAGTCGATGGTTTATGGGCAAACCTATGTTCTGCAATTTATTTAGATATGCTGTTCAGTGATAAATTAAAATCCTTTTAAAGATTGACAAGGGATAGGAAAATATTCAGAATACCCTAAATGCTCATATTCAAGGAGTCTGCTTAATACTGTTTGTCTCTAATCAGTTGTCTGTCAGCATCAAAAAGATTGTTTCAGCTCACAAAAGGCAAAACCGAGAATTCATTGTAAAAATACTGTTATTAGCTTGTGTATGCTTCTTTCTTTTTTTAGCCACTAATAGTTCAGCTCTGCTAAATAATCAGATATTTGGGAAGAGGAAAGTGAACAATTTGGTTGTATTTCTGAAAAAGAAACTGTACATAACTGGTTTTTAATAACTTTCAGTAGGACTTAAGCTCTATGTATTGAATCTGTCTGCCTGTCACCAACAGTAAGGTCTTCCAGGTCCTGTTATTTACTGAACATCCCTCCCTCTCTGGGCATTTTGTTTTGTTACCTGACTTGGAGCTGACTCAAGGGCATTTTTAAATTAGTATCTTGAGGTTAAGAAGCCACATGCTGGCTACCCAGGCTTTCCTGAGCCAGCCCCTGGGGATGCTCTTCCCTCAGCACAGAGGTCCCAGGGTCAGAAAGATGCAGGTGCCAGTAGCAAAATGGATAATGTGCTGCTAAGACAGAAAGAAAACAGACTTTGGGGTGTGTGTATTTTTCTAGACCTCACTGTGCAACAGATGGTTTAATAGTCTCTCCGTCTGCAAAAACATTCTTAAATAAAAACAAAACACGTAAATACCCTAAAACAAGCAGCGTGAGGCTGCCTTGCCCACTGACATCCCCCAGGCGCTGGGCACCCCTCGCATCGAAAAGTAAACCTGCTGCTTTGGGGTTCATCACTCGCAGGTGCTGCTGTGTGATGCTGACAGAGCTAAATACCTTCCAGGAGGTGAGGAGCAGTCCTTCTGTGGTTGCCCTCCCAATATGTAAGTGGAAATAATAATCCTTTGCCCTACCTGGCACAAGTTATATGAGAATAAGCGTGCTTTAAGTCGTCAATGGCTGGGATGCTGGCAGAAGTGAGGGAGTCGGAAGAGGGCAGAAAATGCTGGTGCCAAATGTAGAGAGAACCCAGATCAGATTCATCAGGAGAAATCCCTCCTATTGTACGGTGGCTCCTTGCAACCTTATGAGAACTAACAGTGATTGTTTCAAAGGGAAATCTGAACAGATTCACCACGTGCAAGTTTTAAACTTCATTTATTTCAATAGTTAACACCTTGGAAAATAAACTGGAATTAGCCTCTTGTGGAAGTACAAATATTTATCATCACTGTTTCATGCCTTGCCAGTGTAGCAGCTGACATCCATGGCATTCAAATTCCTTTAAGTCTTGCCAGTCAATATTAATGAGACACTAAATACTGAGATTGCACCTGTTCATTAGAGTAAATTGAGTAGTTTATTGTCTTCACAGTCTTTTGAAGAGTGATAAGCTCCAGCTTTGAACAACTTCTTGGAGAAGACTTCTTGATTATAGCCTTTGAATCCATTCTGGGAGGCGGCTGACAACTGTCCTTTCTGGTTTGGAAACAATCGAATTGGACTGTCTGCTAATGAATGATGCTACTTATGCATGCAATTCTATAGCAGATGCATGATGCCTTGAGCCCTTTATTCAAACTGTAAGGCAAAGCTTGGCAGGAGAAATTAGTAGGAGACAGAAGTACTCTGTTAATACCTGGAGACCCATTAACAGCAGAGTGAGCTGTTCAGTATTATCTGAGATGTTCTTAATATAGAAGACAAAAGTTTTCATTTTAAATCATTCTCCTCGGAGTTTCCTCTCTGGGCAACAGGCGACTGAGCAAGGGGTGTAATTCAAACTATCGTGCTGCTTTGGCACTCCTGCGGATGCTCCTCTCTCCTCCCGGCAAACTGAAGAGTTCTCTTTTCAGGTATTAAGCAGTGAGCCTTTGGGGTGAGAATCTTAGCCCTGTCACACAAGGTACTAAAAGCCTTTTTCTTCTGGGATCAGCTATGAAAGGAGATGCCCATTAATTGAGGGTTTGAACTGTAAAATAATGAGAAATATTCCCCATCCTTTAAGTACTATCCAGGTGCCATTTATATATATATATAAATATTCTTTTTCAGGAAGAATGACTTCCTGCAGACTTCTGCTGCACCCACAAACACGGATTTTTACCTGCTTGCCTACACCGGGAACAATCCCAAGGTTTCCAGAAAAGGAAGTCTTGTCAGGCAGCCGGATGGACAGCAATGGTGTTACAAAAGGTTTAATCTTGGCCAGAAGCTAAATGCTTTTATTTATATATATATACATATATATATATGTAACATTTATACGTATATATGGATGGATAGAAAAAAAATGGCTGCATACGGAGGTTTGATATTCCCAAATAAATGTGAGATGAGCCATGCTGATCCCACATCATGGTTTCTCTGGACTTGCCATCAGTGGTGACCTTCTCTAGGAGCTCTGAGACCTCCCTGCTGCTCCCCGAGCCGGGACCTGCTGGAGGGGAGTGTGAATGAGTTGGAAATTTCAAAGATGAGCTCGCAGTGGCTGTAAACAAGGGAGCCTTGTTTGTGAATGTAGGTGCTTCTCAGAGGGCAAGAGGCTACCGAGTTTTGCACCTTGCTCTAAATTTTTACAGATTTCTCTTTCTGGGTCACCGTTCCGTGCACAGATGCAGCCCGGCTTTATGTAAGCTTTGTGAAATGAGGTCTCTCCTCATTAATTTTTCACTTGCAATCCCCATCCATTTCTTTGCCTTCTGATTCTTCTGCTTGGATGTTTTCCTTCTGCTTCTTATTTCTGAAGGAGGTATCTAGACATGAAAAGCAAGAACAGAACAGAGCCGAGCTAATTAGCAGCTGCTTTAAGCTATTGTTTACCCTGCACAGGAACACATCTCGAATCAATGCCAATTTGGATCACAAAAATATTGCTAGAGAGAGCCAGGCCAAAGCCTTGAAAGCCCATCGACAGCCCCTTTTCAAGCTCACAATTTTGCTGCAGACGACCCCCACTGAGAGACATTTCCCAGCTCCATAGGTTCCTGCCTGCAGAGAAATTGTTAGAAACAGCTTCTCGCCAGTTCCATGGAAGTGGAAACACCTTGTGAACACTCTGAGTCAATGTGGCATCGTTACTATTTCAAAACAGGGAGGAAAGAAATCAGGAAATGTTTGTTTTGAAGAAAAAAAAAAAAAAGAAGGTAAAAATAAAAGGGTGTTTGCTCTTTTCATCCTTTTACCTGCCATAAAGCTCTAATATTAGCTATTATGGTTCCAGCTATTGGGAAGGGGCTGGAAAAAAAATATGCTTGCTCTGATTAAGGATCCATATTGTCATAATTGAATCCTCTGTCCGGGGTTCATAAGCAGGTATGTACCCACGTATGTTTCTGATTTGTGTGCAGGATCTTGGCTCCACTGTACAGGTGTTTTTTTAACTAGTCTTCCTGAATGGGAAGGGGTGTTACAAAGATGATGCACTTTTCTGTGCTCCATTTCAGTGCAGGCAGGAAAACAGGGAATTAGCTACATGTTCAATAACTGCATGTCAGGTTAGAAGTTGTGAAAATGTTTATTTCTGGATCAGTCTATGAATATTGTTGTACATGCGATGAATTTGCTCTGATTTCCATGAAAACAACATGGGAAGATTTGCATTGACTTTATGAACTAGTTTAGTTATGAATTAAATCATAGCTGGTGAAAAGTATAATTTAAGCTTGCTTGCAGTTCATAATAAACCTACAATGATTTGCAAATGTTTGGTTGAAGTCACTGCATCAACATTACGAGCTCTCATTTGTTCGTCAGAGTGAGGTATGACAGTGTCACCTAGCAACTTTGGAAGGGCATTCAGACTTGATGGTGCCGAACTCTATAGAAAAGCCTATAAATAAACTAATTTACAAATTAATACTTTTTATACGTGTCAAAAGCATTACATTTGACATTAAAAAATTAACACTGTACAGGAGGAAAGGAACCAAAAATTAATTTTCATCGTGGTGGTTATGTAGTGGGAGGATTTAAACTGAGTAATCATGAAATACTGTAACCCCGGGAAGCAAACGTGTATTTCCCATATCCCTGCTTTGAAACACACATGCAAACCTATAAGATTTATGTACATGTATGCGTGCATGTATCTATGTATATTATTTTCAATAAGTTCCGTGTTTTTCCAGGTACTTATTTTAACAGAGAATAAACATTAATCTGTTATGTTCTCCCCATACTATTTAATACCTCCTAGTATGTACAATTCCCTATTCATTGGTAAGTTCATAACCTCCCCTGCTCTGCCAGCCCACCTGAATATCAAGGCATGGAGCACCACGGTGGCCTGTAGCATTGAAATCCAGTAACTTCCCATTAATTACTGCTGCCAGAGCTGACTGGATGGAGCAGATAATTCTCTGCATATGGAAAAGCTTGGTCAAAATTGACAGGCGTGATGGTCAGCAAAACTTGGGCTGAGGGATCAGCTGTGGTGAGGATCATATCAACCAGCCCCAGTCTCTTTGGTCTATGAATTAAACTTAGTAAAAAGCAGAATTGATAAAAGCTAAATTAGCCTAGTAATTTGTAAGGGGAAGTCTTGAGTAGTCCAGCATCAGAGAGGCAGGGTCTAGGCTCTCCGCTGCACAGCTCAGAAGACAAAATGTCCCTTGCGGTGATTTTCTAGGTTGGATTTGAATTATTGAAAGCTTTCACAGAAGAAAAAAATTTAGACCGGGAACTTTCCTAAGAATTATCAGAAGTGTAATGCATTGGTCCATTTGCTAAAAGTAAGGGAAACAGAAGTTGCAAATATTCTAGAAAAAGAGATGAAGGGGTACGTATTACATTACATTGTCCGGCTATTTGGGATATTTTTTCTTTACCTGCACAGCCTCAGTGGGTGAATTAGTTGGTGGCTGCACGTGTGCTCACCGCGGCAGGCGCTGCTTGTCTCTGAGTTTACACTTCCAGCTGCTCATCGCCCTCCGGGTCACGCAAAGGGACTTCTCCAAGGTGGGGGGAAGAGGAGGTGCTAATGGGATCTGCCTGCAGGCTTGTCTGAACAGGCTAAGACAAAATAGATCTAAGAAGCCTAGCAGTGCTTTAAATCAAGTCTGAGCCTGGAAAAGAAGAATCTTTTGAGTGTTTTTAAAAAAAAAAAAAAAGAAAATGCTTTAATAACAACGAGAGTGGAAAAAATATTTTACAGGAATTCGTTAATGGCTCTACCCCAAAACCTTTCCTTTCTGCTTTCCTCCTGTCTCCTGTGACCCTTAGGCTCAGCCTGCGTTGAAGCTGAGAAGGGGCAGGTTGGGTCCCTGGCTGCTCCGAGGCAGGACAGCACCCCGGGCTCCACGGGACTCCTCACTTCTGCCCTGTGTGGGCACAAATGATACCTTTGCTGCTTTTTTTAATTTTTTTTCTCTTTTTCCCCACAAGCCTATCCCCAGTTTGATGGAGGCACAAACAATTCCCACATGCTCCCTTCCCTGGCATGGTCTGGGTTAGTCAATAGAGACGGGGGAAGATTAGCCAGGCAGGGCAGCCCACTGTCTACTTACACACCGAAAGCCAGACAAGTGTCAGAGCCTTATTTCTGTTAGATTTAATTTCTCGATCCTCGTGGATATCTTATTCCTACACCTAAGAGCCAGGGCAGGTGTCACGGACTGTTTTGGCAGCAACCAGCTTGTTTTCTACACGTCAACAAACACAGGTCACAGTCACACACTTTTTTTTCCTTCTCACCCAAGTGTATGAGGAAAAGGCTCCCAATTTCCTGGACAAAGGCAGCAGCCAGAAAGTCTGGCCATCAAGGACACAGGATGAACCACAGAAAATAGTATGGTGAGGCTTTCTTCTGCTTCTGGGAGGACTCTGGTTTCTTCAGCCTTCAAGAAAACTGCTGGCAGGTGGATGACCAAAAAGCATGGCAGGCAGTCAAGTCCAGTGGATGGGCAGGAGCAGGTGGTTGCCTTTGGTACCTGCTGACCCAGGACAAACAGAAGTTTTCTTAAACATCATTGGCACAGCTAGTCCTCTTTCAGCAGCCTGAAATAAATTTCAAATGTAGGGATTTCTGCTCCAGCATTTAGATGTTCGTGGCACTGGGCTCATCCTGCTCACACAGGGATGAGGACATCACACCCATGCCCCGCTCTCCACAGCCCCAGGAAGCCTTAGGACCAGGAGAAGAAGGAGGAAGAAACAGAAAGGACAGAGTGAGGAGCTGAGTCCTCAGCAGAAGAACAATGTGCTGAGTTCTATAGCATAGTTGGTGGGACATGGTACCCTGATGTGCCCCAGAAGGTCAGCATGGGCTGTGTTAAACACGGTTGAGAGAGCGAGCCCAAGCTCATGGCAGGACAGAGCAAGGTACCTCCAGCAGTAGCTTGAGGAATCACAGAAATACTCACCAACTCCTCATGCCCAGGCCCACTGCAGGGGAGACAACAGGGCTTTGTGCCCATCTGTAAACCCACCAGACTGCCCAGGAAGGGCTGGTGGGACCAGACTGGCAGGGTAGCAGATTTCACTCCCAGATTCACTCAACAAGCTTAATTGAGAAAACTGATTATTCCTTGAGTATGATATAAGTTTCATTTCTACCTTCATCAATCTTTCTTCCCGCAGCTGAGCAGTGAGCAGCTCAGAGACACCACATGGAGCTGCAGGTTTGCAGGGCACCATGGTGTGTGCCAGGCCTGCCAGGTGGGGTAAGGTGGCAGAGTCCAGGGCGTGTCCAGTGCAAGATAAAAGCACTCTTACTACCACAGTGGTTAAATATGACTTTTTTTTTTCTGTAAGAACATATATCATATGCCAAAAGTTCTGACACCAATGTATACACATCTGTTCATGCTGCAAGTTTCCCATAGCTTCACAAAACAAATATTTTAAGTGATTTTTCTCTTACACTGGCTATACGACAAACATATATAACGACTGATGGTAATTAAAAACTATCTAACTGTCATTGCCTCAGGCAGTCAGAATTTTTCCTACTCCACAGGCTAGGATGAAACCAAACCAGATCAGAAAGGCAATGCATGCTCATCATGATGCCTTCTCCCTCCCCGTTCTGTCCTCAACTCCCTTCCAGACACGGGGTATTCTTCATGAGAGAGAACGAGCAGCTCATTTTGTCCTAGAGTCACCAAGCAATGCAGATTGCAGTGCAAAGAACTGAGCTGCCAAAGGCTTGTTGCCTCAAAACAAGAGTGTAATAAAAGGTAAAGTCATAATCCCCCCCCAATGATAACTGGTCCCCACAGGTGTTGAGGTTTTTCTGTCATCTTCTTGTGCTCTCTGTAGGTGGGGGCAGCCTGGGACTGAGCAGAGAGCACCAGAACAAAGTGGTTTGCGACAGACGGCAGCAGAGGGCTCCCCTTGGGATTGCCAAGAGCATAACATGGGATCCAGCAAAAGAAACAGTGAAAAACACAGTTTATTTGATATTTTTTTTCTGACAAACTAATTAATCACTGAGGGAATCTATCTGTGCGGCACTTGATCTAGCTTTCTAGAGTTTTCGATTCCACCTCCCATCTGTAATAGAAACTATTTCTGCCTCTTTTTTTTTAAGTAAGCTTTCCCTTTCTCACTTCATCCCACCTTTCACTGACACAATAAAATACACTTTTCTACTTTTTCATCATTACATTTCTCCATAGCTACTGGAGGAAAGCAGTGTTGAAGCTGTGACCACAATGAGGTTCGGATTTCTTCATCATAGGGAAGTTCCCATTTAGGAGACAAATGGCTTCATTTTGGAGGAAAAGAGTTTGATTTGTTGTGTAAACACTTTGTAACCCATAGGCTGATGAGGTGATGAGCTTCAGTTTAATATGTTCTTTCGTGGGTGTGTCATAGCACCAGGCAGGTGTAGTTCGTCTCATTGATAGAAGACAAGTGGCAAGTGTGGAGAGAAAATGCAGCATTATGAAAATGATTGGTGGTGGGTGGGAAACGAGCAGGAACACCCTGAGATGTACCTCGCTGACTGCACGGTGAGGTGCCTCCCTGAGCTGATGTGCACCATCCGAGCAGTGGGAACAGAGATGTTGGGAGGGCAAAGCCCAAAGTACCTTCATCTCCAGGCGGTGTGTGTGCAACGGCAACAGAAAATCAGTTTCTGTTCTAAATGGATAAAAACTCTTTGTATTAATCAAATCAATGCAAATTATGCAATTTAGATGACTGGCAGCTGTAATGGGCTGTATGGAGATACTCTGCCAGCTTAAGTAGAATTGGGAACGCAATCAACTCTCAGAGCTGAAGGAGCAGCCCACAGCTGAGGTTAAAAGCACAGAGGCGAGACAAACCCCTGTTGAATATCTCTGGACTAACAGTGGTGGGGGGGTTAATGAGCCTTTCCAAAAAAGACCTGCTATTGGTCTGTCCCCGCTTCTGCTCGCTAATGGCAGGGCTGTCCTTGTAGGCACCAGTCCACAGTCCCTGACAAACTTGGCTGCCGTGGTGGGAAAAGCTACTCCCTTGTACCCCGGCTAAATCCATCACCTAAGATTAAACGTACGTGGTGTGAAGGGTCCTGCCTGGAAGCTGCTAACAGCCACTGTCTCTGCGTTTCCACCCGGAGTTACTGATGCCGGGCTGGAGCTGCAGTCAGGTAACACAGCAGCAGAGGAGAGTCCCCAGAGAAGGAGTTTCTCCTCACAGCTATCCCTGCTCTTGCACGTGTTCCTGTCTGATCCACCCCTGGGCAAAGGCACACAGGCTGATTTAAGCTGCCATGACGACAATCAAGGTCATCCCTTGACTTTGCCTTGAAATGGGCTACATATTCCTTAGGCTATTTATAACCCACACAGAGGTATTCCTCTCCTTAATCAGTCTCCTGAGGGTGTGAGTCACTCCACGGACGGGTCCACCTCCTGCCACACACCAGAGGATGAGCTGGCGCCCCCGTCTCTCCACCTTCCTGCCCGTGCACTTGGAGGCACAGGACTAAAGGTCTTCTGCAAGCACTGCACCACCCAGAGCACACAACTCCCACCAGGGTTTAACAGCAGGATGGATGGACGGGGAGGGGACTATTTAAGGAATTGGCTGAGGTGGCAGATAAGGGGAGAGGGAGAGAGGGACTGAATGCTACAGCAGTGCAAAAGAAAGCTGAATACAGCTGGACACTTGCATGGCAGCGAGCAATTCTTTTTGTCCTTGCAGAGAGGACTCCCATCGTGTTCTGCGTTAGGTAACTTCTGGGAATGAAAAACTGGCCTCGTCATGTACCTGAAGGTGCAAAGATTAAGCTGTTCCCTGCACCACACAGGACAGGGATTGTGACCCCTGAAGTCTTGTTTGACTCAAACTTTGTTGATTCAAGGACAATCCACGGGACATTTCTCCAATTCTAACATCCCAATACTGAGTTCAACTCAGTAATTAACAGACTTCATATATGGGGAAAAAAATCCCCCCCAGCTCACCCCAGAGTGCAGTTCCCCTGGGGTTCTGTAATGGAATAAGAAAACACACTTTAAATACAAGAAATTATATTGAGTTCTCTTGCTCCAATTTAGATTAGCATTTTAATGTTGTTTAATTAGTTTGTTGCAGTTTTTTTGTACACCAGTTTATAATGTTGGGAAAGTATATTTTACAGCATTGCCTATACAAATAATAAATTGTGCAACACAGATGTTGCCTCTAATTGTAATATTTTAAGTGAAGAGGAAAACACTCTTCTTAGCTTTTAATTAGGTTTTCTCCAAGCAGACACACAAATAAAAATTTACTTGTCTTTTAAGCAAATACCATCTGCAATACATTTCTGTATCACGATCTAGTGCAAAGCCTACCTGCAGCCTGCTGTCTTCCTGCATTATCCTCGTTATGGTGGGAAGCCCGTTGGTTCTGTGAAGGTGAGTCCATGGCTCAGTGTCTGGTGGCACAGCTCTGACGTGAGGCTGCCCCCGGCCTGTTCCAGTCGCCCTCCCCGCTGTGTTCTGGGCTAGAGGTGCCCTTGCAGGAGCAAACCTCTGCCTGTGACCCCCCCTGTACATCACTCGGCCCCATGGGACAGGCATGAGATTGGCACCAGGGGCCAGGGAGGGAACTGACCCACAGAATGAACCAGGTGGACCCGAGTTCTATCATTATTTGAGTGATGGAAAGCAGGATGCTCTGCAGGAATCAGCCCAAAAGCCCCCATTGCTGCTTCGTGGCTCGTGTCTCTCAATGCGCTGCACAACCAGGGAGTTTCTTCCTTTTGTAAAAAAAAAAAAAAAAATAAGTCCTAGCAAAATAAACCTTAACAGTGGCCCATTTATTTTCCCAGTCCCATTCTGTGTTTCCACCACACAAAAGATACCAATGTAAATGCCCGAGGAATCGGGCCACATTTGTCACTGTTTACTGATGTACAATTTGCATATACAAGTTCACTTCCAGCAGCACAGTTACAACGCTTGTCAAGCAAGAGGCTTAGTTCCGTGTCAGACCGTTACACGAGTTATTTATGCCCCGGGACCAGCGGCTGGCAGAGGGGCATCGCCGTCAGGAGGGGGTAAGCCAGCTCCCGGGCTCTCCTGAGCTCTGCTCATTACCACGAGCCTTTAAGCCCAGCCCAAGGGTGGAAAAGCAGGACAGGCTGTGTGCTTGGCAGCTGGACAGGCCCCTCGGCTGAAGGAGGGGACCTTCCCCCTTTTGGGGTGGCAGTTAAAGCCTCAGAAACGTGGAGTCCAGAAGACGTTGCTGCAGCACAACCTGGGGCAGCTCTGCAGGCTGGGATTCTGCAGGAAGGCAATTCCCCCTCACCTCACCAGCCACAGCAACACCCTCCTCCAGGTTCATGTTAGTCTCACTCCTCAAAACTAGAACTGCTGCAGAGGAGCCTCTTCACAGGTGGGGGTGCTTTTCCTTTTCTATATGCACCCCCACTCCCACCCTTTGCAACCGGAGACAAAAAAAAAATAATAAAATTACCTACCACTGCTTTTTTTTTAATGGAGAATTTTACATCTAAACCCTCATATCCTCTATTCCTTATGGATTGATTTTAAAACATACTCAAAGCCAAAAAGGCTAAAGCCATCAGCCTTCAGCTGGTGGCAGACCGATGGGCCCCGTGTTTCTGCACATGAACATCAGACACTGTGGGGAAGGGACACTCATGGCTGTCACCATCCCCTCTTGTTGCAATTGTAGCATTGGTTCATCTCTAAATCAAGAAGAACCAAAATTTGGAAATATATATTTAAAAAAAAAAAAAAGGTTTATTTCATCTTTTGCTTTCTTTTCTAGTTCTTGTTCCTGAGGAAAGAGAGAGGAGAATGGGAGGAAATTATTATCTAAAGTGCTGCTTGTGCTCTTACGTGGAGTAAATAACTTTAATCTGTTTTAATCAACTGCCTCTGAAATCTCAGGGGCAGTTGCAATGCTTGGGAGCACTGAGCTTCCACTCAACACAGCTGAGGCTCAGGTGGACGTTCCTCCTCCTCTGGTCCCCCCACCTCCACAATGCGGGTGGCCACATCCCAAGCCCAAACACCTCAACCAGCCCCACCGCTGGGTCAAGGACCTGCACATGGAGTCACCTGGGGACCCAGCCATCTGTGCCACTTGCCCAGCGTCAGCTTCACCTAGAGGTCAGCCCTCCTGAATTGCCACACAGAGACCTGCACACAAAATAATTAGCTAACAGACACTTTCTTTTTCTTTTTAAGAAATCTCATAGTATTCCAGGTAGCCCTACTTTTCTTGTCTTATTAATTTTGCTCCGGTTAAATGAAAGCTGATAAAATAGAAACTGCTGTAAGACCCAGAGAAAATTAGGTTATGTAACCTCTTTTTTATTTATTTAGCATGATATCAAAGTTGTTTCTTATCATTCTTCAGGTACATTGTGCTCAGGAATAAATTAAACTGTCTATTCAACAAAGAGGAGCTGCTTTTTCTCCTGCTAATTTTCTCTCTCTTTCTCAATTCTCACTCTATTATTAGGGAAAAAAAATAACAAGCTTAGCTGAAGCCAGAGGAGCCTTCCAGCTTTGTGCACTCACACCATGCCCTTACCTCCCGTAATCCAAGTGGTCCATCTATCGGTCTCTGGCTGATACGACAACCATCAAAGTCAAAAGTACAATGATGTTTTCCTTTACATAATTACTTGCTGATGTTGACAAATGGAGTGACAGCTGTGCCCTTTTTAGGGGAAGATTTGTGCAGAAATCAAAGTCACGTAAATAATTTCCCTGGGTGTTATTTTTCCCCCCCTCTCCTGCTCCTCCCTCTCTGTGCCCACAGCCCCAGCGTGTGCCGAGCTCGGGGGAGCAGCCACGCTGGCGGGAGCCACAGATGGGTCCCCGCTCCCCCGGGTGCCAAATCCTGCTCCTGACGGCTTCTGCCGTGCCTTGAATTGCTTCCACTGCAACGCGGATCCGTTTTATTTATAAATTGTAACGGGAAGAGCCAGCAGAGACCTCTACACTCCCAAAACGGAGAGGGAGCAAGGAAGGAGGAGAAGGGGGAGGGTGGCTGTGGACAGAGCCACCTTTTGGGAGATACAGTGGGGCCGCAGGGTTTGGTGGGTTACATCCCCTTCTAGATTTACCTCCGGCAGCGCCGAGCCCAGCCGGGTGAGCAGCACCCAGCCACCTCTGGCTGTCATTTCTCCAGACAAAGCTCAGAGCTCCCATGGGGCTGGGTCTCTGCTGGAAGCGTCCAGCAAGGAGAAACAGGCACCGTCAGGGAGCGGGGTTCGGGGTACAGCCGAGGGGTCACCTCACTGCCCATCCCTGCCCTCCTCCCCAGGGCCTGCCACGCACCAGAGCCAGCGGTGACTGGTGCATGAGAACAGTCAGGCCACCATCACAGGAAAAGCACGAAAGTAACAAAAAAATCCCCTAAGAAATTCCTCCTCTGCTCCTTAAAGGCTTCACAGCCAGCGGGGCACATCTTCCAGAAATCACGTTGTGTTTCTGGGGATGGCAGAGACATGGGCGAAGGTGACTTGCTCAAGGTCACCAACCCAGTGGTTACTGGTGGTTGCAACCACTACAAATTTAATGTGATGTCTAGTTCTTCTGGAGTCATTCTATTGCTCCATTTCACCCGGAGGGCGGCAGGGGCAGCAGCATCTTGAGTCACCCACGCAGGGACCAACGGGGGTGGCTGCTGGGCCATACTGCTTCCTCACCACACAAGGATGTGTGGTGCCCAAGGTTTTTGGCTAACACCAAAGAGTATGGCAAAGCACATAAATCGTATGTGTGTGTGTACAATATGTGTGTGTGTACATGTGTGCACACGTGTGTGTGTGTGTATACACACTGGGGAGGGGTGTTCTCCCTGTGCACACTGTGAAGGGCAGGGCTGCATAAGTAGGTCTATCCCATGACATTGCACTGCAAATATTTAAGTGTTAAAATAACTAATCAGAACCTGACCCAGCAAATAGATGAGCAATTCCTGAAAGGCACCAAGGTTCAGCTCCTGTGCTAATACTTTAACTGTCTATGTTAATCTCAATTAGCCAGAAAAGCCTATACTTATTAAAATTGTCAGCTTTCTATTTTATGCGCGTAAGGGCAAAAAAGAAGTCAAGTAAATGTGTGGGTGACACTGCTGAGGGAATGTACATGGGGATAAAAGCCATTTTGTCTCTTTTTTAAAAAAAAATAAAAACAAAACCAAAAACAAATGGCTAGTATGACACCAGGGCTCATGAGTATAACAAGAACCTGCCTGCCATTGTGCTGTTCCAGAAGCACAAGAGACAGCAGAAGGTGCCATGAAGGTCTCACCAACCTGCCACCACCAGGGCATCATTCCAGCATTAAGGTGGAGGAGAGATGGTGTCTAATGGGGAGAGAAAGAGAACGAAGAGAAACTGAAGCAGGGGTGGGCCTGGGGCACAAGGCAGGTGGCAAAATAAAACCGAATTGCTATGGAAAGAAAGGAGGAATGGGAGAAGCCAGTTGTTTCTCAGACCCAAGAGAAATGATACCGGGAAATTTTCCCCAGTGTGCAGCAATGAAATGTTAGAGGACAGAAACATTTTCTGTGGGTGTTTACATGTGCTTCAGTGCATCAATGCAGCTAGAAATGGCACTAACAGGTAGTGACTTTTTTCATCTTATTTTCAGTATGACTTTCTTGTCCTGCTTCTTCAGCTTCACACCTGCTGGCCTGAAAATGGCAGTCCACCAGTTCAGATTTCACCATCAGCTGTGGTAGTTATCACATTTGTGCTTATATAAAGGCTATGAAAGATTTCAGCCCTTCTGTTTAAATAAAAAATAAAATCAATCCTTTCTGTTCTTTCTTTTTTTTTTCCCTTTTTCCAAACGACAACAAAACTGTGAACACAGGTAGGAAAATAATTGATGCATTCTAAGAAACTGTCAGGTGTGAAAAATGTTGAAGGCTCAACAACCCTATTAATGCTCTGAGAAGTTGTTAGACAGCAGATTTATGTAGCAGCACCAACACAGCATAAGATATATATGACAGAAATTAAGACAACAAAATTCTGTGCAACCACTCTGCATTTTTTTTTCTTCTAGAAGCAACGGTGCAACACGTGGTCTGAAACCCAGCAGCTGACAGGGGGATACAGGGCAGCTCCGTCTAGACAGAGACCCCCATCAGCACTAAGTACCCCCTGGCCATTCCCCCAGGGTTTAGAGGAGCGTAGCTGCAGTCGGCCATGGAAGGGCACAGCTGTCTTCTCTCCCTTTCTCCATGTTTCTGTTGCTACCTCATTTGCCCAGGAAGTAGATGAGAGAGAGGTTTAAATTGTTTCCCCACTTAAGGAGCTTCCCCTCTTCTGCCCTAGGCACTCTGTCCTGCCCATGAGCTAGTCCAGGTGCTCACACCACCACAGAGACCACCAGTGCCCTTCTCGCCCCATACCAGCCATGCATATGCTTGGTCTGATCCATCCCACCCTCTGCATCAGCCAAAGACGGGTGGGTTCCTATTGCCAGGCTCCTTTAGGAAGCTGAACATAAATACCCTCCCCCCAAAAAAAGTCTGGTCCTATTTGTTTTCCAGTATTTGTAACCAGGCTTAGAGAGCTGAGGGCACTTTTCTCTGACTCTGGTCCCCTAGAGGAGCTGGTTTCAGTAATTACCTCTTTCCCTCTCTCCATCCCTCAACACTATGTCCTTTATTTTAAACTGCATGGTATCCTGCCCTGATCAGATTCAGGAAAGACATCCACTTTTCCCATCCAGCCATGGATAAACCCACTGAAGAGTATCT